GACGTGGAACGCGAAGTGCTTCCACCTGAAAATACTGAAGTTACTAGACTTTTGAATGATTGGCAGCAAAAAAGCAATCGTTTCCATCAAGGCAGCTAAGAATCGTACACATTTCAAGGGAGCATCCACAGTGTATGAACAGAAGCTATTGAAACGTTAAACACTTACCTCCCAGAAACTTTCGCCCCATGTGTTGAGCGGCGCTGCTAAGTTGAAATGAACCTTACCGCAGATCCCACTTCGATGATTGCGTTGGAAGAGTCTAGGCGATAAGATAGCCACGCCTGAGGTTGTGATTCGTTGACATGTTATCGCTAGTTATCACAAGAATTCTCCTGAAACCCGTAAAATGAGGCAAAAACATGTCTGCACTTGGTAAGTGGCAGTACAGTACCACGATACCATCTGTAGTAGGTTGCCACCTCGGGTGTTCAAGGATATAACTCAGAGGGCCAAATTAGTGCTGGCAAGAAAAGAGGATCACCTGCGAGGTTCACGAACCTTGCAGTTTAAGAATCTACTATTAGAAGTCCGAAGGAGCATAGATGGGCTGAGCTTTCAGTAGGGGTTGTAGACGCTTTAATAAGTCCAATACCTACACATAACCAAGAGTCACCCGTTGGAACCTTCTCGAACATCTTCGAAAGGATCGCGATAGTCCAAATGAATGGTAAGCAGTAATCGAAGCGACTTTATATGGGTTTTGGTTCAAATGTGATTGTTTGTAATAAACATTGGTGCTACCTATTTACACACTGGTAGCAGTCTGCACTTGCGTATTAATAGCAACTACCGTAACCCTACGCTTACTTTTATTCAATTTCGAGGACTAATAGTTTGTTGATTTCGTGTGTTTGAGGAGTTGCTTTAGTTAATCAGCGATTCAACTTGACCGAACTGTTCTAAAAGGAGTCTTGGTTACACATATCTGCAAGCATGTGGTCCTGGAACTACTAGCGCTGCTTTGCTCTGCAGCCGTAAAGCTAGCTCTAGAGACGTAAATTGAGGTTATAGCTGGTGAAAAATGTGCTGCGAATCAGAATTGTCACTGGATATTGTATTCTGGTTTCACTTTTATGATTTGAAGCAGCGCGGAAT